CTTCCCCCCTTTCCTTCCCACATGATCTTGTATTGTCCTTCCCCTCCAGTCCTGCATTGTCTCCCCTTTGTGGTGACACCCGCCTTTAGTTTAAATCCCAGCCTGGACTGTCCTCGGTAACCCCATTTCCGACTCTTCCCACAAGCGGCTACACCTGCCAGCACTCTCGTATTTTTCTGCCTGTCTTGGCTGCCATAGTTAGTGTGGCAGGCGTGGCCCCATGGTGTGGAGTGAACTATCTCTAAGCTCTCATGCAGACACTGCAGTAAGGGGAGCTGCCTCCCAGTTGTTACATCATGGGTCAAAGTCATGCCCATCTCCCTAGTGAGCCTGCTGTTGATATGCAAAATAACTCTCAATGGCCCGTCTCTATTTCTCCCATCCCTTAGCCAGGCTTGTGGGATTCCCTACATTCCTGGACACCCCAAGTTCTGGACCCTGTTACAAATCCTCCCTTTGGGGGGCCCTGGGGCCACCCAGCCTACACTGTTCGTTACAAGAATGCATCCCAACAGGGATCCTGTGAGAATAGAGGGAGCATTTCCCTTCTTGTCCATGGTGTACCTTGGAAAAGAAAAAAATAAAAAAAAAAAGAGGGGAACTCCCTGGCTCCCTAGAGGCATCCTCCCCCATTAGCCCAAGGAGTTTTCGAGTGGGTTACAGGGTGTCCCGTAATCCCACCACTCTAGGCTACCAGACGTCTCTGGGGATACGAAGGCTTGGGTGTGCTGGTCAGCAGAAACCTAAGACTAAGACTAAAACTGACCACAGACTAATCGTATCCCCTTTGCTGATAGTGAAACCGAAGGCTCCGATTAAACTGGACACTCTCAGCAAATCTGAGTTTTTACATATTTGGCCCCAGAGAGAAGCTGGAGAGAGGGGACTGTGCCAGTCATTTGGTACATTTCCCGGAAAGACTGGAGGCCAATGTGATATCGCTCAACCCAATAAAATAGATTCCAAAATACTTGCCACCTATATGGCCTCGGTTCACTCTGGGCTTGGGGAGTGTACAGACCACAACACAGAAGGTGCCTAAGGGGGAGAGGTAAACCTGTCTCTGTAAAATACCAGAGGGGAAGTGACTGACCCAAATCAATTTCCTTCATTCTTCGTGAGCACAGAAGGGGCAAGAGAACTGTACCTTGTTTCTCCTCTCCAGGTGTTTCACTAACCTGACCTGGGCTGTAAAGGCCCCCTGGGAGGACTCTCAGGAGGTCTAAATAAAAGGACTCCTGTTCATATTTAAGGTGGATTATGGAGGGTTGAGCTAGGACTTGAATAGGGTGACTAAGGATGGCCTGAAGGGGTTAGGTATATAGTCTCAAGATCTTAAATTCAATGAGATAAACTAGCACGAGGCGCAGCCACCTTTGATAGCAGAGGACTCAGAGGTATCTACTGATGGCCTCTGGCCAGTGGCACCACAGGCAAGGGTGATGTAAACAAGAGGGGAGGTGATACCTCCTCTACTCTGGGATAATACCTGTAAAAGGGACCCTCCATCTGTAATCTCTGCCTCGTCCCAGAACAAAGGCAGCACTCGCCAGGCCTGCAGCTCCAGCAGGAAGGAAAAAGATGCAAGTAGAGTGCCAGAACTTTGGGAAGGAAGATTCCACAGGGTAGTGGTGGGTCTGCAAGGAAGGCTGACAGTGCAAGGTCAGCCTTAGTGAACAGGTACCAAAAGTTGAGAGTTGAAGAGATAGAGGGAGAACAACGCAGGGAAGGAACAATGTTATGTTTTACTGTGTCTCGGGACATGGATGTTGCCTTGTGCTGGGCAGGGAGCCTAGCACCTCTCCCCAGTCCATGACCAGGTAATCCTTACACGGGAGTCTTTTAAGCAGCGAGCACCCCATAGGCTCTTAACTGCCCAGTGCCCACACAATAGCAGCAAACTCTCTTCAAGGGGCCAGGGTGTCCACAGGTATAGGAAATGAAACAGAAAGGAAGCAGAGAGGTTTCCTCCAGGCAACAGGGCAGAATGGGCTTGTCTTACGGCCCCAGCACTTCCACATAAGATCTGCTGGCTGGCTCACCGAACGCTGTAGAGGGAGATGGGGTCCAGGTTCTTTCTTAGCGGTCACAGATAAAGAACTGAATGGACTACACAAATAGACTTAAGTGAAGCCAAGTGAGAGTTATTAAGAAAAGAACACTCCCCAAGATATGGGAATGGGCGACCTCTGACCAGAGTGGATCCCTCCTGCCAAAAGGATGCAGGCTTTATAGGGGGTTGTTTTTTCCTGAATTGCTTTGTTTCATCTGGCGGACTTTTCACGGTGCATGCACAAGTAGTTATGTGCCTTTTAAGCTTCTGTGCATATAATTTCTCACAATGCTCCTTGATAGCCCACTCAGGGGTCAAACTACAATGCTAATTTATTAAAATAGCATGATAATGAAACAGAGGTGAATCAGTGGTCAACTATAGCTACACAGCCCAGGCGAGTCCCCTTGCTAGGTGCTACAAGGCGTTTTTTGGTCACCAGGATGCCAGACACGGGCCAACACCAGGGTGTCTCGGGGCTTCCTCATCCCTATTTTGTCTCCTGCCTCGGGGACACAGGCAAGAACGTGAAGAAATAAAACATATGATTACCATGGCCTATGCACTAAGCATAACATTTTATGACCTCATTTAATCCTCACAACCTTTGTACAAAGCAGGAATCACTCCCCCAGTTTCTAGGCTCAGAAAGGCTAAGTAACTTTTCTAAGATCAAACAGCTGAGAATGGAACCCAGGTCTAGTAGCCATGCCCAAATGTTAGTTAACACTAACTTTTCTTTTTTATACTATGTTTGACTAAATTTCTTAAATTGCAGTTAAATATAATTTACTTCCTGTCTTAGTGTACAAGGTAGGGCAGAACCTGTCTGAATCTGAAGGGTCCAAACCTCCCAGACCTCGAGGCCCACAACACGGACCCACCTGGGGCAGCAGACACACAAAGGAAAACAATCCCAAATGACCTTGGTTTAGTTTTTAAGGAACCCAAGCCATCATCTTGCTTTCTTATCATTTACCTCTTTTCTTAAAATTCAGATAATATGGCAAAGCCTGAAGGACTAATTTCTTTGATCCAGTAATTTTCTAAAAACCAGTGAGAAAGAGATTGATAATCTAATTTTTTAAAAGGTTTTATTTTTAGAGAAGGAAAGACAAAGAGGAGAGAAACATCAATGTGTGGTTGCCTCTCACGTGCCCCCTACTGAGGACATGGCCTACAACCCAGACATTTGCCCTGACTGAGACGCAGACCAGCAACCCTTTGGTTTGCAGGTGAGCACTCAATCCACTGAGCCACACCAGCCAGGGCAATAATCTTAGCTTTAATGGATATTAATAGGTAACTCATAGAAAAGGAAATATAAATGGCTAACTAAAATTTTTTGTATGTTCTTTCTATTGCCGAACGGGGGACCTGGTCCTGAGCAGGTCTGCCCAGGCCCAGCTGGTAGTGTGTGGGTTATTGACGTTGTGCAGGAAAGATTTCATGAGTTCGGGTGCCAATGAGGGTATGTTTATTGAAGTTGGAAACAGTGAGACAAGAGAGAGCCTAGGGTAGAAGCAACAGGAGAGATCCTACACTGGGCTGCCTTAACTCACTGGGAAGTCAGATAAGCAGGGACCTTGGGGACAGATAGATTCAGGGGGTTAGCCTGGGATGAGATACCTCTGCAGCATCCAGTTTAGGAGAGGCATGCCTGTGGGGGAAAGAGAGAGGAAGAAGGCAATGGCTCCAGCTGCTCCCCAGGGGGAGAGCCATGCTGAGTCCTTTGTCTTAAGGCTTTTATCTCTCTCTTAAAGGCAGGAATTTTAGGGAAGTCAGAGTACTCATCAGTTTTCCAGGTGCGCCCTTTCAGGGTCAAGGTCTCTGATTGGTCAGTGCCAGGGCAGGGGGTCATTAGTCACTGTAGCTGGTCCTGGCGTTGCCCAGCTGGTTTTGCTTGTCTGGATCTGAAGCTGAAATACAACTGAGGCCTAGATGTTACCTCCAAGGAGGTGACCTTATAATCTGGCTATAAAATGCTTGGCCATTTTGTTCAGCTGTCTGTTCCCCCATTCCACTTGTCCTGGCTTCTCACGACCCTGCCTTCATTCATTTCTTCATTTGAGGAATGCAAATTAAAGCTGGAGAGACACTATTTTCCACTTGTCAGACTGGCTAAAACCAGAAAGCTCCATAACACATACAGAACTCACACACCAGTGGCTGGGACAACCGCACCAGCCTCCGCTCAGGAGAGCAGTTCAGCCAGATCCGCCGTGACTGCACACACACGGACTAGGAGTCGCGCTTCAGGGGACTCCCCTTGCGGGTGCAAGTGAAGAGCAACCCACAGAGCCATTCACTGCAGCAGTGGTTGCAGCTGCAAAGGATTAGAAAAAAACACAGTATCCCTTCATCAAAAGGGGCCTGGTTAAATAGATTATGGTACATCCATACATCCATGTAACCCCAAACAGGGAAGCTCTTTCGGTGGCTAGGGAACGCTTCAAAATATTCTTACGGGAAAAACACAAGAACACATGAGACACTGATGATAAAGTCAGCCTCTGGGGAGGGGAGGTGGGCAGCTGGGATGGGAGACTTCACTGTGTACTGCAGTGCCTTTTGAATTTTGAACCATGTGAAACATCAGTTATTCAGAAAAACAAAATTAAAAGACTTATACATGCTGAATCCTTCCTTGTTACTAAAATTTTGGCTTAGCTCCAGCTGAGTTACTGTACTCTCTCCTGCACGATATCTTGCCATACATGGCACTCTAGAGCAAAAACACAGGGACTGTGAGCCAGTGACTGCCCCTGGTGAGGCTTCTGCCCCTCTGCCAGTCCAGGCAGAGGGAAACCCTAGGTCAATCAGTCTGCACTTCCTCCCTCTGTCCACAGGGGGTGCTATGAGGCTTGCTGCTCTGGACACATGGCGGTGGCCTGGGGGAACACTCAGCCTGCTGACCAACAGGCAAAGATACGCAGCGACAAATGAGTAACATAAAATAGAAACTAATTTTATTTCTCTGAAAGAAGCAAATATCCATTGCTGGGGCAGCAACTTTGGCGACAGAGGCTGGTGGGAAAACAAGGAACAGCACAGGGGAAGAGCTGGGTCAGAGGAAGCACTAGGATCTCTCCAGGGCAGCCACCCCCCTGGTCTCCCTCCAACCCTGGGGCCTTGGGCCCTGGTCCCAGCCAGAGAACTATCCGGCACCAACGCTCTGCTTCCTTAGCCACCTCAGGCTATTTCCAGGCACAAGATCTTAAGACCAGCCATGTCCCAAACCAGTGTCCATGGTGAGGCCACAAGTCACATTCTGTCCGACACCCAAATGTCTGCCAGGGACTCCCTGGAGAAGGGCCAGCCCTGTGCTGGTCCACCTTGTGGTGTAGCCAACACATCCTCCTGGCCCAGGGTCAAACCTGGCTTTCCCGTCAGAAGGACTTGGGGGCACACTCCAGCCACAGGCCCTACCAGAGCGGATGAAGCCAGAGGCAGGCCAGCCACAGGGCCTGCTGAGGCCACCCCAGGCCTGCCTTCTCGGGGCAACTTCCTGCACCCGGGCTTGGGGCACTGTGAGCCGAACTGAAGTTGCAGGGGCAGTGCTGGGTGAGGAAGGGACAGGCAAGGCGGGGCTCCCGGCCTCCTGATGCCTTGGCCTCGCTCTGCCAGTAGGAACGGCGGGTGCGGCAGGTCCTCCAGGCCTGGGATGGGCATCTTCCCACCTGGTCAGATGGAGAGGCTCAAGTGATTCTTTCAGGGCAGACCTCCGGCTCTCCAGACATCTCAGCGCCTAGAGGGGAAACAACCAGAAAATCTCCCCATCAACAGGGCTGACGCAAGAGTATGGACTAACCAGTGTGGGAGGGCCTCTCTGTGACGGGCAAATTGGTTGAAAACTGGTAGTCCCAGGCAATGACTTTGGAACTTACATCCTGGGATACCTTTTTTCTTCACTTTAAAGAACTAAAAATAAGAGAACAGCAGGATTGTGTATTACAGCATCCAAGGGTGACAGGTTAGTAAAGCCTAAGTTTATTTGGATGCAAATTAGTAAGAACTTCCTAATGGTGTGTGCCAGACACTTGTGGTCAAGTGTGACAGATGCATCCCTCATTAAATCTTCTGATCACGTCTATGAGGCAGGCACTGCCACTCACACACATTGCAGATGAGGCCCTGACAGATCAGGATGCAGGCGTGAGCTGACGCTGTGCCTGAGCGGGCGCTGGGCCCCCACCTCCACTGTGGGCTGCCACAGTGGCCCAACTGCGCTGAACCCCCCATCCCACCAGCGCCTCTCCCAGAGTGAAGCTAGAACCTACCCATCTTACCACCTTTTGACTTGATAAAACCTTCATAAATGTATTTATACTACATATCACTATATCTTATTTATATAACTTATTGTTATATTTACACATATACTTCCATTATTAATAGGAAAGTAATAGAGTTTTTTGGTTAGACATTCCTTTAAAAAGGCATTAAAACTATTAAATGTTATTTTAAACTGAATTATGAAATGCAGAAGTGAGAAATACTTATTTAGGGCTGTGTATTTTTACTGATTGTGTGTTCAGAAAGAAACGAAAGGGGGGAGAGAGAAAGAGAGAGATCTGTTGATCAACTTATCGATGCCTTCACTGGTTGATTTTTGCACGTGCCCTGACCAGGGATCAAATCCGCAACCTTGGCGCAACAGGAGCACGCTCTCACCAAGAAAGCTGCCTGGCCAGGGCAGAAACATTTATTTAAATCACTGGGTCCTGAACTGCTGCTCCCTGGGAGCTGCTCAGGGCGCTGTGGAACCACAAAGGCTCCAAAGGCCTCTTCGACTCGTTAGTTCTATCTGAACCGTGTGGCCAGAAGTCTACATAAATGGGCTTAGGAGAAACTGTTTTCACCCCGCACTGTGTCCTGGGACCGGGGCCCCACTTTCCTCCTCCCAGCTGGGGAGCCTTTATCTCTTGGTTGTGTGTGACCTGCGGAGGTGCTGAGCTTCCCCCTAGAACGGTACACTCCAGGACACCCCGCGGGCACAGGGAGGTGACAGGGTGCGGGGCTCACTCACTTGTGGTGGACAGGGCCACAGGAGCCCAACAGGTGGCAGCCGGCTTGCTCCAGGTTCCAGTCGAACATCTCCAGCACTTTGTGGCACTCGCCTCTCGGCCGCAACCCCAACCCGAAGAGCTGCTCCACCTGAGGAGCAGAGGTGGTGCCATGGGACGCACGGGGCCACAGGGCACTAGCCAAGGGTGGGGGCAGAGGAGAACCAGAGAGGGGGAAGGAGTGGGAGGGGGCAGCAGAACCAGTCTTCAGGGGCCCTGCAAACCAGAGTGGGCAGGAGGTGGCGGTACCTTCAGATACTGGGCAGCCCTCTGTACGTTCCAGCTGTGGCTCTGCAGGGCCGCCTGGCACTCCTCTGTGGTCACCCCATGCACCATGGCCTGCAGCTGGGCACACCCACCCACCTGGTCAGCACCACTTGGGCCCACTCCTCTGGGGCCCTCAGGCTCGCTCCTGCCCCTCCTCCCCTGACAGCAAGGTCTGGTGCTTACCATCTGGATCTTATCTGTTGGCCGTCCAGCCTCTGGCCTGACCCCAGGGCAGCCCCTCTGTGACAGCCGAGCAGCGGCCCTCAAAGATGGTGGCCGGACCCCTGGGTTGCTGTTGTTGGTGGAGAAGTTGGCCTTGGGGTCTGGGGCAGCCTGGGGCATGGGTCGAACAGTGGCAGTGGGGGCGGCAGGGGCTGGGGTGCTGGGTGGGGGCAGCAGGGGCACAGGCAGGGGGGCCGGCTCTTCGGAGTTCTGTGCCTCCCTCAGGAAGCGCTGGTACCGGTCCAGGTAGGGTGGGCGCTCAGGCAGCAGGTAGTAGTGGGTGCTGCTGACCTTCTTGCCATCTCGGACGATGGGCAGGATGCAGGGACCAGCCCGTGGGCCAGGTGCCTGGATCACCTGTGGTGTGGCATACTTGGGGTCTGAGGCAAAGCTCTGGGTGGTGGGCATGGTCTTCCCAGGTGAACTTGAGAGCCGGGGTAGCAGCGGGGAGCTACCACGTGGCACCAGGGGGCTGGGGGTCCTTGACCCTTGAGGGGACAGGGGTTCCCGGGGAGGCACCCTGGGAGGGGAGGCAGGTCTAGGCCACCGCCCCATCTCTTCCTCGCCTGAGAGGACCGGAGACAGCTCACCACGTGGGCGTGTGGGCCTTGGGGGAATGGGCACCCTAGGGGGCACCTGGGGCTTGTCATCACCCACTGGACTGGGCGAGGGTGCCAGTGAGCCAGCTGGGACCTGCAGCTGCCGCATGCACTCTTGCTGCAGCGCCTGGAAGATCTCTGCAGTCTGGGCTGAGCTGGGGGGCTTGCTCCCACCCTGGGGCGGGAGGAACAAGTTGTCCTCCAGGGGAGGGAGGAGCCGCGCCTGCTCAGGCACAAAGGCGTAATTGGTCTCACCCTGGCTGGGCCCAGGAGAGACCCCTGCGCCCACTAGGGAGCTGTTGATGGAGCAGACCTCAAAGTCATCCTCATCTTGGGCCACATCGTCGTAGGCGGGAGGTGGTGGCAGTGGGCATGCATCCCAGTCCACCACAGGCGTGGGGTGCAGGGGCCGGGGCAGCGCCCTCGTGGGGCTCTGTGGTGGGGTCTTGTCCAACAAGGAGCAGGCGTCCATGGCCAACTGCGCCAGCGAGGGTGCGCAGGGCCGTGAGGAGGGGACCACGGGCTCCTCACTGAAGTCGATGAGTGTGACCTCACTGCCACTGCCACCACGGCCTGCCTTGGTGCAGGACACCCGGGCCGAGGGCTTCGCCAGCCACAACCCACGGGGCAGGCTTGGCTTCCTCAGGCCCAGCTTCTTGAAGTCACTGGATAGGGGGTCCTGGTCCTCGCTCACAGGGTCATAGGTTGGTTCTGCAATGGAGGGGAGACCCGCACAGAGAGGCAGGGTCAGGCAGGGGGACAGAAAGTGGGGTTGGGAAGAAAGCCAAGTGTCTCCCACCAACTCCCCAGGAGACCCCTCAGGTACTAAATTCTCAGTGCACAATGGCCCCACAGAAAGAGGAAGGCACAGCCTTCTCGATGCTGTCGGCCTTCTGCATGGGAAGGTGAACCCCAGCCTCCATCTCAGCTTGAGCAAATGACACCCCCACCCTCCTGCCTCTGACGCCCCTCCAACAACACAAGACCCCAAATGCCCCTGCCCCTAGTTAGTGACCCCTAGCGCCACCCCATTACAGCACACTATTAGTACAGGCAGGGGCAATGGGCAATTCCCCAGCCTTAAAAGAGCAACAGGAGCTCTTGACCCACCATCACAAAAGCCTGGCCTCTGCAGGTCCCAGAGTGAGGTAGGCCCAGCAGTGGTGGAGGGAGGCAGAAGCCCAAGGGTTTTTTTGTGTTTTTTTGGGGGGGGTGGGGGGGACTTGAAAGGAGAGGCGGGTATGCTAGGCCAGGTCAGCAGCAAAAGCTCACTGCCCCTCCCACCCAGGCAACCACCAGGGCTCTGTACCTTCCAGGAGAGGAATGAGAGGAGAGAGGGAGAGGGGCCGGGGGCCAAGGCACCGAGAGCAGCCCCACTTACTCTGAGTGAAGATGGCAGGTTGAGGTGGGCGAGGTGGAGGCTCCCCTGCAGAAGGGCCATGCAGAGAGCAGAGGGGAGCAGAGCAGGACAGAGAGAGGACAGGGGAGGCAGACAGGGGAGGCAGAGGGAAGAGCATGGACAGAGAGAGAGAGCACAGTGAGTAAGGGCGAGTGAATGTCTAAACCCAAGAGCAATGGGAAGCAATGGGGCGGGAGGATGGGGAAAACCATGTTCCGGAATGACAGGCCCAGGATCCAGGGGGTGGATGAGGCTCCTGGCCAAGCTGAAGCCCGTGGGGTGGTTTTGGCTTGGGAGAGGAGAGCAGGATTAGAGTGGGTGAGGAAGGCCAGGTTCTGAGCACGGCGGGGAGGAGGATGGAGAGAGCTCAGGCAGGCCAATGCAGGACTGACCAAAGATACCCACCTCGGCGGATACAGCTGCCTCTCATCTTCCACCCCACACCCAGCAGGAGCCTGACCCAACTGTCCCCCTGCTGTCCTGACCCAACCATCACAGAGCCAGAACAGCTGGCTCAGGGCTGACCCAAGACAGTACCCCGGGCAGCCAATGAATAAGAGGTTGCCAGGGAGCTGGGGGGCTTACTTTTCACCCTTCCCAGATGCTGGGTGGGCCGGGAGGTGCTCAGTTCCACGCTCAGCAGGTCAGGAGGGTCCATGGGATTTCCCAGATACAGTCTGTGGGGAGAGAACCAGTGTGCAGTGGTGGCAGTGAGGAAACCTCTGGGGAGATGCTGGGCCTGTCCCCTGGGGTCAGGCATCTGTGGGGTCACCTCGCCTAAGCCCCTTGCAGACATGGGTCTGAAGCACAAGACTGCTGACTCCCGGCAGCTCCCTTCTGTAGAGCCAAGCCGTAACCAGGGGAGGGCACTGCGGAGAGAGGGCAGAGCAAGGACTCCTGGCTACAAGTCAAACGTCTAGGCGGTAGGGGCTCCAAGAACACCCTACAAGGGCAGAGCTGGCCCTCTGCAACCCCCACGGTGCCCCTGCCCCAACCCACGGCCAGCAGCCACCTGCTGGCACACTCTCGCCTCTCCTGCCAGGCCCAGAGGCATCCGGCTACACTCCCGGGTCAGGGTGGGCAGGAGACATCCTTCTGCCCCACTGCCTGGGGTGGGGCCACCTGCCCTGCTCCTGGTTCACCCTCAACCCCTGTGCTGACTGTCTAGATCTGGGACTTAGTCACTGGGGCTGACTAAAGTCTGGAGGAATGGGGCGGGGCTGGCCACAGCCGGCGGCGGCAGGGCAGAGGCCGCCCAGCTTCCCTCTGGAGGGCGTCTGCTCTGCTGCCCTGACTCTCTCGAGCCCTCACCTGGCTCTTGTGAACAAGAGCCACACACAGGCTGCCCTCCCAGAGCTTAGCGCTCTGGTGTGTGGGAGCGTGGGAGCAGGGAGGTGAAGGACCTGCGTCACCATGTCACTCAGGGCAGAAACATGTGTCAGAAGTCAGAGGAGCAAGGGCTGCTGAGAACAGGGGCCTGCAGAGAGGGCCAGCAGAGAGGCATGAAGCCTGGCCTGAGGAGCTTCCAGGTAGAACTCTGGGGCAGTGCACGCAGAAAGTGACTGAGTCTTCTCTCTGTCCTCCCCAGATGCCCCCCAGTGACCTTGTCCTTTCACTTAAAGGAGACTGGAACCACCCCCCATCCCGGCTGCCCCCGGTACGGAGTGAGAGGTAGGCAAAGTGCTGAGCTGCTGCCTAACATTAGCTCCGAAGTTTCCCCACAGAGACTGCTCTTGGGGTCTTGGACCCCTGGGCCCGACCCAGTAAGTTCCCATGTCCCGAACTCCCTCCTACCAGGAGAAGGGAAACTGACACTCAAATGTTGGTGGCCGTGAGAAAAGCTTTCCTACTGAACTGCTTCCACAGGCCCCTGCTCAAGCCCCCCTTCTCAAGGCCAGTGTGTGGGGCTCATGCTGTAGCCCCTCGGGTCTTTCCACCACAGAGCAGTGTGAGTCCCTCCTCTGAAGCTCCCAGCCTGGTTCTGCCTACAGGGAACACTGCTGGGCAGTGAGCGACCCTCCACCCCATGGCTGTATCGGGGGCCTTGGAAGCCTGAGAGAAGCTGCGTGCCCAGGGAGGGACTGGGGGCCAGGAGCCCCAGGTGGGGCCTCGCCCAGTACTCACTCATCAATCTTGTCGGGGAAGCCCCAGCAGTGGCGGGGGTCACTGTCGCCGTGCCCCGTGTGAATGAAGCTATTCTGCAGAGGCTGGCTGATGTCCTGGGCCGACAGGCCAGCCACAGAGGTCACCACATTTCGAGGAAAGGGCCCCACACACAGCGTCCGTGTGTTCTGCCCACGCCACCAGTAATTTTCAGCCCTGCCCAACAGAGATGACATGGTAAACGCCAGGGTGTGGTAGGACGGCCCCACGGAGTAGCACTCTTTCCATACCAAGATCTTTGACTATGATGTCTAACTACCTTAGGAGAAAGAAACAGGAGGGTTAGGGCCCAGGATGAGGCTGCTCTGCCACCAGCTTGCCTCCTCCCAGCAGCCCCTATGATTGTTCCCCCAGTACAGGGCCCCGCTCTTTGCATACCGCCTTACTCTAAGCTACCTACGTAGGTCAGACAGCTTTTCCTCACGTTTACAAAAACGAAACAGGTTCAAACAAGTGACATGACTTGTCTACAGTTACCAGAAAGGTCACAGAAGACCCAGGATTCAAATCTAGTTGTCAATCTGTAAAGCCAGCGCCCTTCTCACAATATCACCTCATCATCTCCTCCCCTGGCAAAGCCTGGGCCCCAGTCCTTTGCTGGCCACCTGACTGCACTCTTCGGCCCAGTTCCAAGAGTTCTGAGCTCCAAGGGCCCGAGGGAGCACCACAGCTTTAGCACTGGGTGTGAGGCCAAGCCTTCCAACCACATGCAGCTCTTCACATGTTTGGAAGCACTTGGGGCAACCCGCGACTTCCTGTCACCAGTGTGTGTATCTCCAGTGTCTTCCAGTAGCGCCTGGCAGGGCTGTGGGACCCTCGCCCTGGCACCATCCCCCTCCTTGAGAGGAGCTTGCCTCCCGTCTCAAACAAGGTGTCCAGGAGGGAACACAGCCTCCCAGTGTGGCTGGGCCAGCTGCACCTTGATCTGACCTCAGACACAAAACCTGTTAGGCAGCCTAAGCCCCCTGGGGTGGGGGTGGGGGAAGGGGCAGGGGGGCAAAAAGAACAGAGCGCCCTCCTGGACCCTGCAAACGCCAATAGGCCAGCAGGCCATGAGGCTCCTGCATCGGCTGCTGGGATCACTCACCCGGATGACAAGGGCAGAATCTGAGCTAAGGCAAAGGTGGTGACAGCCACATGCTGCTGTGGACACATGTGACACCAAGCTGCACACTCTCACTGTCAGTCCCCAACCTGCATGTCTGCTGTCCACAGCCAGGAGTGTAAAGAAAACTGCAGCTGGACTGGAGAGACTGGAGGCTGAGAGGAGGCAGTGAGGCCGAGAACCTGGACCCTCTGATGTGAGGTGATGCGACCCACTGGGGCAGCGTGAGCCCCAAACAGCCTCTTCTAGAGACCAGAAGTCAAACCCCATGAGCACAGCAGCCCTTGGGAACCCAAGAGGTGAGCTGAGGGAGGGATAGGAACCCAGCCTTCTTATAAACAAGGCAACTGACCAGCCCACCACAGACACAGCAACCCTGAGATTACCACCCTCTGGGTGGGAAGGGCAGGAAAGGAAGGAAGAAGTGAGGACAACACCCAGGAAGGGGAAAAGCCCATCCAAAAATAGCAGGGCCACTGCAAGGAGAAAAGTGCTCCCCCAGCCCCATCCCAGGGCAGGCTGAGGTTGAGGACCTCTGTGAGGAGGTTGGGGAGGCACGCCTGACAATGGGGACCCTGCTGCTGCTCTCCCCCAACACTCGCAGCCTCCCTGGGTTCTTTGTGCCCCGCCACGGAACCGGCTCGACACCAGCCCCAGGGCTAAGCGCCGGACTCTGCTCCCTACACCTCTTCAGAGGTGCTCATTAACCTGGTGAGAAACACAGCTGAGGTGGAGAAGCAGCGCAGAGTAGAATGGACTCATGTCCAAGGCCATGACCATGCCCTCCTTGGGTGGACCCTGAGCAAAGCCAGACTGCCAGGAGGTCACTCTCCCTGCTCCTTTCCCTTTGCCAACACAGCCAAGCTCCTTCATAAGAGCCTGATTCGGACTCACTTCTGAGAGCAAGAGGGGACACCAAGCCCACCTCCCTTCATTGCAGGTACGCTGGGGTCCTGGCACCACTTATCAAAAACACCTTGCTCCTGCGAGGGGCAGTCAGAGCACAGAATGTGTGTGAGAGAAAGAAGCCCCTTGGGAATCGCACCCCAAGCACATCGGCCCGACAAGGCTCAAATGCGATCCTGAGAGAGCCAATGAGTTGGCCAGCGCTGCATCACACTGCCCGCTGGTGTCCCTCCGAAACAGGGGGGCTGAATAGGGCTGAGGTACTGGTAGCCCAGAGAGGACCACGCCCGTCCTTCCCCATCCACCAACAAGCCAGAGTCTCCACACCAACACCACCAGGGCTGGGCCCACCAGGCCATCTGGCAGTCACTACAGCACAGACAGACAGACACAGGCACTGGGGGACGGACGGGGGGCGCAGGGGGAGTTCCCAGGAGAGTGAAAAAAGGGCCCAGTACCTCCAGCAACAATTTTCCACTTCCTGCTTCCTGTCGGCATCCTGGGACTAGCAAAATGCAAAGCAGCAACTGGGAAACCGAGGTCTGGGCTAAGAACTTCCTAAGGTGGCCCCAGCTCTACTGGGAACCAGCCTCTGAAATCTCAGCCCCTTGTCCCTGTTCTGGCCTAAGGTGGTCCAGAAATGGCTGACAAATGTTTAAACATTCTGCTCAAAACACCACCCCACCCACCTCTTTCTGGGTGTCCCAGGAGCCCCTGGCCCCGAGGAACAACAAAGACCCTCGCTTCCCCTGCCCCACCCACAACAAGAATCAGAGGCTCCAGGGACCAGGTCAGGCCAAGGATCTGCACGAGGATTCCAAAACCTCTGCCCACTCCTCCAATCCTGTAAACACAGAATATAAAAGTGCTGCCAGCCCTCTCAACCTCCAAATAAGACCCCCTGGAAAAGAACAGTCACCTTCTGTTCAAGTCCAGACCAAGCCTCATGAGTACGGCTGACGGAACATCAATGTGCCCGGTGCCCAGAGAAGCACCGAACCTGCAGAATCAGTCAGAGCCGAGGCAAGGGGGTTCCCAGACTCTGGACTAGGAAACAGACACTGGAGACAGCTTCTGTCAGAAGTAATCCAAGACTCACAGAAAAGGGCAGATATGGAGAGCTGAGAGCCTGGCTATGAGGAGACAGAAAAAGAGCCAGCAACCCACACATAATCGCAGACCCAAAGGAACATACACACACGCAGAGCGCATCCACTCAGATGCACGGAAACAGAGTCAGCCAAACAGAGACATTCGGGCACCAAGAAAACAAGAGGGCCAAGTCAAAGCTCTGGTACTACTGACACGAGAACCACCCCCAAAGCCCACCAGCTGTCATGGTCTCCTGTCTCTCACCTCCCACCTCCTGAGAGGCTCCAGGGACTGTGGTCCCAGTGGGCTCCGGCCCTGGAGGAGGGGCCCGCACTGGTGGACAGCAGGGAGCCTGTGACAGAAGGGCGGGGCAGGGCATGCCCGCAGCCACCTCCTGGGAAGAGCGACCCCAGACACCTCCCTTACCCCTCCCCCCACCTTGTTCCAGAGGTGATCCAGGGCGCCAGCTTGGGACACACGCCTTAGAAACACAAGGAGCTCCTGAGTCATCCACCGGGGAACACTGGGCCCTGGCACACAGAACCCCACTGGGAGCAAGGAATAGGAGAAGGAAGGGAGGCCCAGCTGGGGACGGTGGGCACAAAGGGATCAGGGTCCTAAACTCCTGGAGGTGGGAACAGCTGCAGGCCCCAACTTCTGGCCTGCAGTCCTGCCACGTACCTCTAGAGGGGCCCTCACCCTAATCTTCCCATTTCCAGGATGTCTTCCGAAGTGCCAGGCCGGCAGTGCCTTCCCTGGCCCCTCAGCTCCGAATCACAGACTATATTCCTTCCTGTCCCACAGGCCTCTATCCTAGCAGCTTTCTGCTTGCACCCACTGCCACTGACTTGTTGGTACGTGATTCTTATTCCCACACGTTGTGCCCCAAAGCAAGGGGAGCCCTGGCCTAGGGAAGAGGTGCTGGGGCCACGGCAGGTGCAGGCCACGTTCCTCCACAACCAGCCCGGGGCCCAGCACCCACCTCATCACTGACTCAAGAGGCTCTCTAAGTCACCAAGCCCCCATTCAGCACAAGGTCTAACCAAAGGCTCAGACCCCCAAACCCGAGGTCGTCCAGGGAGAAAGGGCTCTGCTGGAAAATAGCCCCTGCCCCCCCCCCCCCCGCCCACTGCCTGGCTCTGAATCAGAGCAGTTCGGACCACAGGGAATTTCCTCTGCCTCCCTCCCTGCCTGGTTATCCATGGTCACCACTGACCCCAACAGCACCTCAAGCCTGCCCTGCCCCAACCAGTTCCTCAGACACCCTGAGGTTCAGATTACAGAGGGTGGGGTGAACACTGGGTGGGGCTCCAGGGCAAGAACCACTGTGGCTGGAAGTAGATGGGATGCAGGAGATGCTGCCCACAGGCCGACACACACGTGGCCAGGTGTGAAGGGGAGGAAAGGACCAGGAAGAGAAGGAAGCCTGAGGGCAGAGGCCAGGGTGAGAGGCCCAGCTGAGGACGGAGGGGAGCCCTGGGAGGAAGCAGTGAGGGGCTCAGTGGAAGGGGGGAGGCTGCTGGGAAGAAGGGCGGCTGCTTTGGGGCACAAAAACGCACCCAGATGTGTAGTTACAGAGTTCGTATCCTGGGAGGAGGTGGGAAGAGAAGGGCAGGGGGAGGACTAGAAGAGGATGTTTAGGAGTTCCAAGTCTCCAGTTGTGGCCCCAAGGCCTGGCTGTCTCAGCACAAAGGCAGTTTGGCCCTGACCCACACAGCCAAGGGTGGAGCCCAGTGTGAAAAGGGTGATGGAGGCGGCACTAGGCAGGGAGAATCCCTCTGAGCGACACACCTACATACTTGACCCCAGTCAGGTGCAGACCCAGGCCAGTCCTCCCGTCGCTGCCCAGCTCAGGCCCACGAGAGCCTGTGTGCTGCCATGGGGACCATGGAGGTGGCCCCTCTACCCTGTACCCTTCAAGGCAGTGCGGGGGCAGCCCCCTTGCTCCCTACCTGCCTTCGATGACAGTGATGACATCATTCATCTGGATATGCAGCTTATCTGGTTCCTCAAAGTCCTGAAGGGCCCGCATGTCGGTGGGCTGGGCCTGAGGGTAGAGACAGGTCACTCCCCTCTCTGGGGCTGACCCTCGCTTGGACACCCAACCCCCCCAGGCAGACCTGCCCTTACTTCCAGCAGGAAGTCCCGCAGGGCCACAAAGGTGGGTCTGTCCTCTGGTTTGTGAGCCCAGCACTGTACCATGACATTATAGATGTCCTGGGGGCAGTCTTCGGGCCGGGGAAGACGCTCCCCTTCCTTGTCAATCTTATGCAGGATCTGGAGAGGGAGTGCAGTTTGAAGACAAGCAGAGCACCCAGGGCTTCACTTCCCACCCTCTCTCCATCCCATGGAACAATTGGAGCTTTGGGCTGCCGTGCCTGCAACCCCAAAAAAGAGGTCTTCTGAGGGCCGGGCCTAGCCCCAGGCCTAGCCCCAGGCCTCAGACTCCACCCCCAGGTCGGGGCCTCCAACAGGGGCTGTGGCAAGGGCTAAGAATGGGAGCAAGCCCCACCCATCCTTCTCCTGACCACTAGAGGCCCTTCTCCCTTCTCTTTGCTTAGCGCTAGGAGAGGTCACACAGACACAGAGCCTGGGGGACAAGACTCTAGCAAACAAAAGCCAGTTCTGACAGGGCCAGGTTGGGAGCCAGGAATCAAAGCAGCCCCCACCCGCCCTGTAAGGAGCACATCTCCAGCCCCTCACCTGACTGCCATTAAGGCCAATCCAGGGCTCCTGGCCGTAGGTGAACATCTCCCACAGTGTCACCCCAAACATCCAGGTGTCACTGGCATGGGAGAAGGTGCGTGTCTTCAGGCTCTCAGGAGCACACCTGGCAGAGGCAGGGGTCAAACAGAAGCTCTCAAAGCACCCCTACCCACATCAGCCCCAAAGGACACAAAATGCTCATTCAATAAGCACACTGTTGCCCCATGTGCCAGGCTCAACAGCAGGTACTAGGAAGGGCGGGTGTCTCGATAAGGGGGTACACAGACTTGGAGAAAACCATCAATGCTCAGGTCTTTGACCCACATGCGGCCTGGAGTGGAAGAGGGTGAAGCTGCCAGGTCAGGAAAGCAGGGAAAGGAAGAAGGTCGGAGGCTCTAGGAGGGGAGAGGGACAGAGCTCAGCCTGTTCTCTAATTGAGGTGGGAGGATGACCATTTCCAGATTTCGGGAAGGATACTTAAGCATCTGGGTCATTTCAGCAGGAAGGTGTGGGTGGGAAATTTGGATAGGGCCTGGAGAGAACCAAAATGGGTGGAAACAGTCACACTGGCTTTATCCAAATGTCTGCACACTCCCTCTTGGGTGAGGAGAACAAATGTCACCACAGTGAAGCTGGCAAAGGAGTACTCCAAGGGGCTGGGGCGCAGACTGAGGAGGAAGCCACTCTGTATGAAGAATCAAAGGATCTCTCATGGGAATGGAGAGCTAGCCCTGCCCCTCAAAGGCGGGTGGAGTCCAAGAAAGTCACTCAAGATCTCTAAGTCTCATATTCCTCATCTGTGAAATGGAAATAACAATAAAAATTTGCTCACTTCACAGAGTTGTTTTCAGGGGGCTGCATAAAAACCTTATAATTTACCATCCAAACCAGGATGCTTGATTATGAAAGGAGGTGCTATTAATTACCCCAGGACGACAGGCATAATCTAGGGTGTCTGGTCCCCTGGGTATAAATAAAGTCTCTTACTTGGAAGGGTGACCATACATCCTGGATGAGAAGGGTTTTCTGGCAAGCTGAACTGGACAGGCTTCTTACTCCCTGACCACACTTCTCTGGGTGCCTTCGACAGCAGAGGACCGCTTTGTGGGCAGGTGAACACTCCTGCTCACAGCCGACAAAGCCCAGCCCGGCCTGGCCTTGCCTGCCACCAGCTCTACCGGAAACATGCTCACCAACCAGTCTCTGCCTGGCTAACTTCTCCAGATACTGCAAGAGCTTAACGCTGAGTTGTCCAGGAAGCCTTCATGAGTCCCCACGCACACTGACCCCCATGTATTCTAGTGCCTGGCCTGTGAGAATTCCTGGATGAATGAGTGAATAAATGGGAACACAAGAAGGGCACCTCAGGCCTGGAAAACACAAGGGCTGCTGTGGGTATAAAGACCTCAGATACTCTGAGGCTAGGAGTACAGGGGGACCAGCGTGGGGTCCAGGCCCTGGGAGCCGGCAGCACCTGCCCCTCACCAGGCGAAGGGCACCTTGCGATGCTCCTGCATAACGTAGTGGTCGTCGTTCTGGGGTAGTGCTCGCATTAGCCCGAAGTCCCCAATCTTGACCAGGTCACGGGTGGCCAACAGCAGATTGCGTGCAGCCAGGTCACGATGAATAAAGCGCTTGGACTCCAGGTAGCCCATGCCCTCAGCCACCTGCACGGCATAGCGGCTCAGAGTACCCAGAAGGAAGTGGCCCTGGTGCTTGCGAAGCCGGTCCAACAACGATCCCAAAGGCGCCAGCTCTGTCACCTGAGGCCATGGGGGTGGGAGGAATTAGCATGACTGAGCCCTGCCCCTCCCTCAGCACCCCATGCCGGGCTCCCAGTCCTCTTCTGAAGACCTGCCAGGTCAAGCTCCACGCTCCTTCCTGGCCTTCCCTCTGGGGACCTCCAGGAGTCCTGCAGCTTCCCAAGCCTCTCCCTCTAAGCAACGTGAAAAACTGGGGCCCAGAAAAGCAACCCAAAGAGCCTCATGTTAGAAATTCCAAACATTAAACTCAAGGAGCAGCTTCTCCCATAGGTATAAGTCTACCAGTGACACAAGGAAAATGCAGAGATGGACACGGGCTCTAATGAACCCGGTCAGTACGGGGCTAGGCCCCTGTGAGCTTCTTTGTCACATCAGGTAGGGGACCAAAGCAGGATCTGGGGGACCTCTGACCTTCGTCAGGATGAAGGGAGTCACCACAGCACAGGCAGGAGAGGAGGTGGACCTGGGTCCCAGAGGCTGCAGGCCCCTCCCACACGTGGTGCTCACCATCTTCATGGGTGGCGTGAGCACCACACCGTAGAGGCGAATGAGGTTCCGGTGGTCAAGCGAGTGCATGGCGTTGACCTCCCGGATGAAGTCGTCCATGGCCTCCGGCTGGCTCAGCACATCTGGCTTCAGGCACTTCACAGCCACGTTCACCTGCCCAGAACGGAGACTGCGGGGAGTCAGGACAGGCCCCAGTCCCCAACACTGAGCCAACCTGCTCCTTCGTCCAACTCAGCTCAAAATCACAGCTTCAGATCTGCTTATCTCGGTGGGTGAGCACGTCACGGGTTCCTTGGCCCGGCTGGGGAAGGGCAGCTTGTGACCCCCAGAGGCTATCAGCTGGGCCTCCCCTCCCTGGGGGAGCGCCCAGGTTAAATAAAGGACCATTAGGTAAGAGATGACCGACCAGTATGATGATAGGGTATTAAAGTGTTATAAAATAAAATATTAAACATAGTTTTGGTATAGAAAAAAAATGCTTTAAATATGCCAAACACCAATCTGTGGTGACAGAAGTGCGGAGGGTGGCTTCCCTGGAGGAAGGAGGTACTCGGTGAAGAGGCAGGAGAGGCCAACACGCTGGGAATGTTCTGTATCATGACCTGGGTTTGGGGACCTGGGTCTACGCATACCTACAAAGTCACTAAGCTGTACTCTCAGGAACTGCATGTTTTATTGTTGACGTGCTACTGAGCCCTCTGGGGAAAAATTTTAAACACAATACCAAGAGAAAGGGCAAGATTTTAAAAGTTGTATCTAAAGTTTGTATCGTAACTAAATCCAACAAAATACCTACCCAAAGGCGGAAAAGGCAGAAATGCTAACTCTGCTTCCTCTAAGTGGTGAGACTACAGGCATTTTCCCTCTTTATTTTTAAGTTTCCAAACTTTTATAAGTCAATTATTTGTATAATTTAAAAAAGAAACAGATGTGTCTAGCTAAACCTCAGTGTAGAATCCAGAGCAAGCCACTCTGAGACCTGTCTCAGCCCCTTCACATCCTATCTGAGGGGACAGTTCCACCACAGAGGGCAGAGTGGGGCCTCTGCCGGAGTCTCTCAGGGGCCCGTTCCTTTGCCACATCCCCCAGGATCCAGAACACTCACCGTTTTCCCCGAGGGGGCATCCCACTCGCCCCTGCGCACCACGCCAAAGGAGCCATCTCCGAGCTTCTCAAAGAGATGTAGGTCCTTTTCCCCAATGAGGCAGGTGAGGCTCTGCAGGGGCCCTTCCCCTGCTGGGCCACCAGGGGTGGGCGAGGTCTTCCGGAAGGTGCTCTGAGAGTGATGGGGGGGGAACTCAACCTCCAGCCGCTTTCCACTGAACACCTGTTTGAAGGCAGCCAGGAGCCAGATGGAACCCTGCGGCCCAGAGGCAATCCCTCCGTCTTGTCCCAGTCGGTCCTCACATAGGCCTCCAGGTAAGTCCTGACTTTGCCGAACCTCCAAGGGGCAGCCTGCCTAGAGGCCCATGCCCCCTCCTGATACCGCCCCCAACAGGAACCCAGAGCTTCTGTGTGGCTTCAGGGTGTGTGCTACAAATGGGCTGACAGGCACGTAGCCTGTGGCTACTGTGGCCCCACACCTGGTGGGGGGGCGGGGCAGGGCGGTGAGGGCCTGGGATAGCGCAGTCATTCTAGGTACTACCTTCTGCCCCACCTATCCCTTCCTGCACAGCCCCCCTTACCCAGAACGGACTGCAGCCCTAACCAGAACAGATGGGTAGGAGCCTAAGGGGCCTGCCACAAACACCTCTCTGTCCATTTTTAGCCTTGGCCCCTTCTCTGGGCTGCCCATTTGGCGCTGTCTGTCTCCACCCTCCCCAGGGAGCCCGCTACCCTTCATCCTGCCAGGGGAGAGGATAATTTGAGCCTGAGGTTAGACTGTGAGTGTGTGGGGTGCAGATGAAGCAAGGCCTTGCTGGTGAAAGGCCTAGGAAGACAGCTGGGCTTCTGGAGGGGCGCCTAGAGCTGAGGGCTGAGAAAGAAGGGAGAATGGAAAGAGCTCTGCTGCACCCTGGGCTGGAGAGGGAAGGGGACAAAGACCAGGGGGGCAGGAGGAAGGAAGCCCTGAAGGTCAGAGCTGGCCTGTCAGTTTGACTTGGCCACCCCTACTAGGGCATCCAAAGCCTTGGCTTCACACTGCAGAGCCTGCCCAGCTGGGCCCCTGCCCCCAAGGCTGGCAGGGCCTTATCTGTACAGTCTCCAATCTGAGGGCCTCTTCTGGCGGCTGCTCTGTCCTTCCTCCCAGTAACTGGAATCCCTTATGTTTGCGAACAATGTTCAGCTGACCAGGTTCCTCCGCATGGCCCGGTGAAGTGAGGTGAGCTGGACAAGTGTTGCCAGCACTGTCTTACTGAAGACATGCCTCAAGTTTGGAGAGGCTCACTGACTGGCCCAGGAACCTCCTGCGAATTCATGGTGGATCCAAGACCCCTGAAACCTGGCACACTGCATAGCTCTTCCCTTCTGCTTTCACTTGCCCCAACACGCTCATCCTTCCCTAAAACCTGGGCAAGGGACCAGGACGGCGTCCCCAGAAAAGGCCACAGGATCCCAAGAGACAGCCCCTTTGCCAGATGGCAGCCAGGAAATCTCTGCCGCCCAATCCCAGCCCAGTTGTTCTGCCCTGCCCATCCCCTATCCCAGCCCTGAGGCCAGAAGTGGGGAGTGAAGACCCTGGCTGGTTCATTTCCTCCCAAATTGTCTTCCAGACAATGAGCAAAGTTCCAGTGAGTTAGACCAGGGACACACCACTCCACACTCCAAAGACCCAAATTAGGACAAAATGGGAGGTGGGGGAGGCAGGGGGACTGGGGGAGGCTGTGGGTATGGAAGATGTCAGCCAGGTCAGATGACCAGGGAAACCCTCCACAGATCAGGGAGGGTCTGGGAGAGAGAAGCAAAACAAGGATGTCCTGGGTCCAGACAGTCCCACCCCACGCTGGATACCGGCCTCGACACTCAGACAGAACAAGGGCTCAAGTTACGGTGTACTTGTCAACCAGAGCCTGTTCCACACTCAGCACCATTGCATAGTGAGAGAGAAGTGAAGCCACGGTTGTACACGGGCTACTCACATGCTGTCTCTAGCAGGGGCACTCAGCCAGGAAGCGCTACAAGTACCCTGACTGATAAGACCCTGGAGGAAGGAGATCTGTACAAAGTGCAAGATTATACTGCCCGGGAATGGGGGAAGTTTCCTAGGACTGACATCACAGTGGGACCCCGGGAGGCTGCCCCAGCCCATCTCACTCCTTGTCCACCCACCTTGCTCATCCAGGACTTCCGCTTGCACATGGCCTTTCTCCTCTTCACAGCCTCCCACAGCCGCCGCTGGCCTGCAGGAGGGACATGGAACCCAGGGCTGTTAAGCCTCATGCCCCTAGGAGAGGCCGATGCCCACCCAGCAGGCTTCCTCAGCCTCCTGGGGTGGGTCTACCACCAGATACTGCCCAGCACAATGACACCAAAGAAACGAACCACCCCAACCAACCAGGGGCTGCACTGCATCAGATGGTCACCGCACTCCACGTCTAGGCTCTTGAACTGGATGGAGGTGTTGAACCACCAAGACTGAACGGCAGTTCTCTGTTCCTGGCTCTCCAGAAGAACGGAAATTAAGGTAATAGATAGAATTTTCCTAATTTTCAGGGGTTTTCCCCCACAAGATTTTATTATGTAACTGGCATCACCAACTATCCAGGCCAAAAGTAGGATAAGTCCATTTCTAATTTAGCACATCATTACTTATTTAGCTGCTTTAAGTTGAATGCATGAGTAAGTTTCTATGTTCTGTAAGAAAAACCACGAGTTCTAGGTGCTGCAGCCACTACTTTTCAGGATCAATACATAAAAAAGAAATGAGTTTAACTCACAGAGCAGATCTTTGTGAGAGAGAGAGAAAGAGACAGATTAACAAAAAATCAGCAAACCATCTGCGGGTTTTTATCTTCCCTTCTTCATACAGATCTGCAGACAATGAACCCTTAGTGAGCAGACCGGACTCCACTCTACATGTATAGAGGAGGAGGAGACGGAGGAAGCACATCCTACAAATGTCCGAACAAACAAAAGGAGTGGTAGCTGGTCCTGAGTAGCCAGAGCTTTTTAAGAAAGACTCCTCAGAGTCCAATTCACCTTTATAAGTGCAAACTGTTCTCATGCACTCACTGTGTGCGGCATCTACTGAGGCCCCTCCACCCCACCTCAGGGGCTCTTGGACAGGCAGTGAGAGTTCTCAGCTATGCCACCCCAGGAATAAAGGGGGGAGGGCTCTTTCATGTGGCCGGAGATCCTGAGGACAGAGGAGGTAAATGGTCAGTGGGGAAACAACAAGCAAGGCCAAAATCCCCACCTACCAGGCCGGCCCATGCCAATCTTCTCCAGGTCTTCATTCTTGACATACTCAAAGTGGGACAGGCGGGTAACATTGAGGTCGTCTCGGAGCCGTAGGAAGTACTGCTGCAACTGCACCTCAGAGAGCAGCTCCAGCAGCCAGCCTGTGCCTTCCTCCGGCTGCATACTGCTGCTCCCCAGCCTCTGTGGGGAGGGAAGAATGAATCAGGGACCAAGGGATGCAGGGAGGTAACAGAGGACCCTGCCCAAGTGGCCTGGGCTCACCCACATCCCACTATGCTACTTCTGGGAAGGATTCGAATCACCTCTTGCTCTTCTGTACAGTGACAAATCTGTACAGAATAGCCTGTACCCACCTGCCCCCTTTCCTGCCAGCAATAAGGATAGAATTAGGATAGTCGGGATACAGCCCAGGTGCTGGAGTCAGGGTCTCATTCCCAAAATCTACAGCCCAGTGACCTGAGACCAACCTCTAGTGTTCTCAGGATTCCCGTTGGTTCAGACTCTCTTGGGGTCACAAGTCCTTTCAGAATCTGATGAAAACTATTGATTTGTGTCTCCAGGAGAAATACACATTCTTAACCATAAACTTTTGATAAAAAATATTGGGGGTTACAGTGTCCTTTGAGACCCATCCATGGGCCCCTCAGACCTGATGGACCCCACAGAAAGAACTCGGGCCTGGATGAGTCCTCCCAATGCCTGGCATAGCCAGAGCCTTTCCCCTCAAGTGCAAAGATCTCTCCAAAGTGCCTCCAGGACCACGGCGAGCAGAAGAGGGAAGGGCAGAGACTGGGGTGGTTTTCAGACCCAGCTCAAAGAGGCAGCACTGTTCAGCTCCTGTAGATGGTTATCACAATAGACTGTGGCCCAGTGTCATCAAAGCTTTCAACTTTTTCAAGAAATACTGGCAATTTGAATCTATCTTGCCGTTAAAGTTTTTTTTTAAATATATGCACATGGTAAAATATTTAAAAGGCACACAGGAGCCATGTCTCACTCCCTCCACTATTTTACAGCCACCTAGCTCCCCATCCCCAAAGCCAGATGCCATGAATGACTTATGTACCCTTCCAGGCTTTGTTTTTCCCCACATAAACATTCATTCATTACACATACCATTCTGATCCTCGTTTTCATTTCACATTACCCTTGTTTGTCCTGGTTTTTTAACCGTGTTAACTGAGGTTTGAAATACACCTCCCGCCCCCCTGCCTTGCAACATTCAGCGTTGGCCAAAAGACACATGTAGGTGCAGGCCACAGTTAGCCAAAGGGCCACCAGAGAGTGACCTCTGACTTACACTTTCTTGGGCCCAGAGAAAGAGGCCGGTGGCACCCTCAAGGCTAAGCAACCTGACCCACAGGACCCCAAACCCACCCCTGTCTAAGACAGACACCTCAGAGCTGAGGGCTCCACCAGGCCAGCTCTGACCCATGTTCAAGCCCCATGGACGAAGCAGGCAAGAGGGAAAAGGCCAGCTGCCCGAGACCCCCTCCTCCCCAACTCAGAGGTGGCCTTGTCCCCCAGCCTCTCATCACAGGTCATACGGAGAAGCAGGTGCTCACAGCCCGGGCCCAGTGTGAGCCTCCGGCCCCCCATAGTTCCCAGAGGTTCTGCCAGCCAAGTGCCAGCAGTTCAGACTTTCCCAGGCAGCTCAGGACAGTACAAAGAGCAACAAATGGGAACGAGAGGACCTCAGTTCAAACCCTGGCACTCCCGCCAAGGCGGCTGGGCCAGAGGGAGTTTCCAAACTTTAGGCTGTAACCCTTTACCCAGATGGTTCTCACAAAGGCTGAACAGCTCCCTAGGGGATGTTTTTGGTTGTCACAATGTTGGGGGGCCACTAGCGGCCTTCAGTGGGTGGTTGGGGACAAGAACGTGAGTTATCCTGTAACGTGCAGGGCAGTCTCACACCCTGTCCCAAGTCCCATACAATTTAATTCAGGGAAGTGAAAAATGTGTGTATAATCATCTGAATCTAGAACTGAATTCTAATTTACATTGTTTTTATCCTCACCCTAGGATATGCTTATTGATTTTAGAGAAAGCAAAGGAGGAAGAAACATCAATGTGAGAAGCATCGATCAACTGCCTCCCGTATGTGCTCCAACCAGGGACTGAACTCACAACCTAGGGATGCGCCCTGACCCGGAGTCAGACCTGCAACCATTTGGTACACGGGAGGATGTTCCATCCCACCAAGCTACCCGGCCAGAGCCCATTTTACATTTGAACAAGAAAGTATTTTTGCAGTTTTAATACACACTGAACTTTCTTGGAATGGAACTACTGTGTCAACAGAGGGAAAACTAGTCTTTATTTTGTTCAGAATTTAGCAAAAGCTGTTCACTATTCAAAAAAATGTCACTGGAGGTAACCCATCCTTATTATTTCAAAACTCCCCCCTCAGCACTTAGAGACATTGCCTTTGTGGTGGTTCTACAAGAGGTTTTAGCGTTCACTTCATTATGTCAGAGTGTGCTGACATCAGAATACATGAAGTGGTATTATTACTTTTACTCCTCTTTTATTATTACGGGTGGCATTATGTTTGTCAACTGACTGATAACATCCATGTGTACATGGTAACCAGCTTATGTTTCTATTAATTTTAAGAAGACTAACAATAAAAAATAACTCTAATACTTCAACTGCACATACTATACGCTGGGCACAGTGCTAAGCATTTAGCTGTATTCACTCACTTATCCTCAACAAAACCATCTGTTACAAACAAGGGGGTGTGGGCTTAAGAGGGTGGGGCACCACTGCTTTCCAGAAGAAACCCCCAAAGGTGCACTGTGAAACTCACTGACCTCAGCACTGTGTCTTCATAGCCCAGGGTGACAGGACCAGCATTTCCACCGTCGCTACCCTGTTCCTAGAGCAAAGTGATCCCACTCTCAAAAAGGCTCAGCCCCCAGATGGGGCTTGCTACCAGGGCAGGTGGTCTGAAGATCCTCTCCTCTCCTTCCCCAGTCCCTAAATTCCAGGACTCCAAGCTCCCCACTCCTACCCTCCTCTGAGGCAGGAGGCAGCCAACTCCTGAGAATAGCTCAAAGCCATGTGCTGGTAGTCAGGGCTAGGGAAGACCCCAACACCCCTCCTCTGAAAAGCACAGTCTAAGCTGTTCCTTTTCCCTGAAACACCAGCTAACAAATCACCTGGGCTCAGGTGGACACTCTACTCCCCGCTCCCCAACCCCAGCAACAGGCCTGCTCAGCATAGAGGCACGTGTGGAAAGGCTGAGGAGGACACTGGGATCTCAGTGAGAAGAAAGCAGGCAGGGTCCCAGTCATGCCTCTACCACCAAGCTCGGGGTGACCCTGGACAAGTCCCCTCCCCACCCCGAACCGCCACCTCTAGCCCAAGTTTCTTTGTGAAGCACAGAACTCTGCTGCAGCTGCCCCCACTCAGTCACTAGTTCTGCCGGGGCCCGACACCTGTGTTGGAAATGTGTATCTCTCATGGATGCATGCATACTTCCAAAATACACTTTTCTAACACTCGCAAACAAGAACGCAGCAGCTGGAGGGGAGAGGCCACTCAGGCCCAGAGTCAAACCCTCACTGGAGGTGTCCCTCAGCCTTCCCAGTCCTGCTCTCTGCCCCTCAGTGAAGTGTGGAGCTGATCCAGTCTCCAGTCAGTCACCCGGCTCGCCCGGCCCCAGCCCCGCCACCCCCCACTCACTGTGTACAGTCTTCGCCGTAGTCTGGCCAGGAGAGGAAAGGAGAGCTCTAGGCCAGGGAACCGACGAGCTGCGGGCATCTTCACGGAGCTGGGCCCCTGACTGGGTCACTGGGACTCTGGCTTGAGAAGTGGGGGAGCAGGGGCCTCAGCTCCTGAACTTCAGGTTCTGCCCAGAAGGAAGTTGGCCAGAGGTCTGCCCCAGGGGTCCCTCAAATCTCACACCAGGGGTGGAAATGGGGCAGAACAATAGGGTGGTTCCCTTTTCCCTGCTGCACAGCTGTTTCTACAGCTGGCTAGTCTGGTAGAGAGCAGGTTCGCTCTTCTGACTGGCTGCAGCCTGGGTCTTCTGTCCTGTTTCTCTGCCTTCTCTCCAGTGCAGTGGTCACAGCTCCAGTCCTACTCCCGGGCTCCCCCACCCGACTGCCCTCCCTCCCTCACTCCTCCCTCTCTCCCCAGCTGAGCAGCTCTGACACTGGCTGAAAAAGGACCTTTCTGAATCACTGCCAAGAGGGCGGCGGGAATAGGGGGACTCTTCCTCTCAGCCACCCGCACTGGCCCCCCTGCCTCCCCATACACAAGGCCCCCTGTCTCTGGCTTCCACCCCAGCCCCCATAGTTGCAAACAACTCCTGGGATTTTAGGGTGGGGGCTATGTGAATCAAGCAGCAATGTACAAAGAACGGTTACAGGCCCCCATATAGGCTTATCTGGGACTTAGGAGCTAGTACACAGTCTGAGTTAAAAGCTGGGACCCCAGAGTCACTCCTAGACTCTACAGGAGACCCTTTGGAGACCCTCCCCCATCTCCCAGTCCCAGCCTTGGCTGGGCGTCTCCTGGCTCAGGCCCTAATGTGGCCCTGTTACCCTGGTGCCCGACGGAAATAGGAGGCCGGCAGCCTGCCAGAGTAGGGCAGTCCAGCCAAGACTGAGAGGGGGTGGAAGGGGTAAGGAATCTCCACCCTCTTCCCTGGGGTTGCCTTGTCTGCTGCCCACAACACTCAGGGTGCCTCCTCCCAGACCAGTGGCCAAGATCCAAAGCCCCTCAAAACAAACAGATATGCCCCTAGACCCTGCTGAGACTGCTCCCACCCCAAAATTGTAAGATTCTGGGCTACAGGATGTCTCTTGTGGAGCACCCCCCCACACAGACAACAGTCCAGCTAAAGGGAACTGGAGATACTCCATCAAGCCCCTGTGGGCCCCCCACGTTCCTAGAGCAGACAAATGATCCCTCTGCCCCTCCTCAAGGGCGCCAGCTGCTAGTCCACTCCCCTCGCCATGGCCCCCAGACACACCTGACAGCTGCAGGAAGTCCTCTTGTGCTTCCTCGGCACCCCCACCCCACCCCCCAGCCATGCCCAGGGAGCCCCCGTTTCTTGCACACTGCTCTCTTGTCCGCATCCAGCTGGTGACCAGTGCTGGGAGCCCCAGCTGGCTAGTGAGGCAGGCAGCTGAAGATGAGAATTTTGGGGACTCAGCATCCCAGGCTTTCTTTCCAGGGCCTCTCCCAGTGTCTGACCTCCTAGCAAGGAGGTACCCCAAGGGACAGCCACTTCCTGGTCTGAGTCTCAAAAGGGGCAGGTGGGGACACACTCTAGCAATCAGTTCCTCTTCTCCACTCCCATCATCTACTTCCTAAAGCTTGTAGAACCAGCCAGGTACAGCCTTCTCTCTGTCCAAGTGAACTGCCAGTTTGAGGCTGGAGTCACAGATAATGGACAAGGTCAGGCAAGGCCAAGGGCACTCTAGGGCTGACTTTTCCCCAAACCCCAGCAGAAAACGTCCACAGTTCAGACAGAGAAGCCTACTGCCTAGCTTCCACCAGGTACCACCCTGAAGGAGAACCAGGGACCTGATCTCAGGGGACAATTTAAGCAGAATTACTCCCTCCACTGCAACAGGGGGGGCTCCTGGGTCAGAACGGTCAGATTAAAAATTCTAGCCACCCCCTGAAAGATATGCCCCGAATCCACTAGAACTCCATGCCCCACTCTCCTTTGGACATCAGGTAAGAACAAGCCTCAGCAGCTTGCGCAGCAATCCAACTATGAGAGGCTGTAAAGAAAAGCAGAGCATGGTTAGGGGTCGGAGCTCAGGCCAGCTCTTAGACCCCTTTCTCCCAGCCCTGGAAAAAAGCTCCCCCACCTTTCTGTCCACCTTTGTCCAATCAGCTACTGCCCTCTGCCGGCTGAGAGAGAAAGTGCTTGATCTCCAAGGGGAAGGGGAGTGGTCCCAATAAATACGGTGATCTTATTTTCTAAAGCAAACAGGGAAGTGGTACCTTGTATCTGGTGATCCTCCTTTCTAAAGCTAACAGGGACATCTGGCTTGCAATGCATATATGGAAGGCCAGTAAGCGGGAATGTCCTGGGCACAGGAACTCAATGCCCATAAAAGACTAAACCCAAACCCTAGTGCTTCCAGGGCTCTCAGGGGCCGTTAAAGAAAGCCCAAGGCGCAGCTTAATTGGGACCCAGGCGGCCCAGAGACACTGAGGCAAATGTCAGCACCAATAATTCACCATCACTGGTTCACCCCACCCCCTTAACTCTCCATGGGAACATTCATTCTTTTTAACCCAGCCTCCTATTTCCCCGGATCTGTCCTGGGGCCCAGGAGCATTAGAAACCCCTCACTTCTGGGAGGCTGCTGCCGAGGGCAGGGCGGGGCCCTCAGCCGATCAGCAGATGATGGAGGCTAGGGGCCGGGTACCTGGCTATCCCCTCCTCCATTACCTGCTGTCCCTTTTCGACCCCTGTCAAGCGCTGATATGCAGATCTCTCCCCCATGGAACCCATTAAGGCCGGGAAGAGGAGCAAAGACCTCTAGCAGCCCCCGCCCCTTCAGCGCACCGGCAGCGTCATGGCCCTACGTCCCGAGGGGCCGGGCCTCAAGCATCCTGAGTCTAGTCGGGCAGAGCTGCTACAGCACCTCCGCTGGGGGAGTCCCGGTCCTTGCTCCTCCGCCCCCCCCCCACACACACCCCACAGCCTTCTACCCGCCACCAGCTGACAAGAGCCCCGGTGGTTCCCAGTGGTCACTCTCTCTCCTGCTAGGACCACGGCACGCCCCTCCCCCAATCCTGTGCCCGCAGTACCACAGGCTGACCCCCAAGAGAGCCAGATGCCAGGCTCCACCTTCACTGACAACGGAGCCACAGCACCCCTCAGCCCCTCAGCTGTCTTCAGCACCTCAGAGCCCCACAGTTTGGTTCTGGGGATTCAAGGGTCCCCATATTCCATGCTAAGTAAGTTCACACAAGAGAAACATCTCCTGTCCTGACACAACCTGAGACTCTTCCCTCTAGACAGCAGGGCCTAAAGCCTATCCCTCCACCTTCCCAGCTTCCACTGAGCTCCAAGAATGAGCCCACCTCCCCGGCTCCTTGCTGCTCTACTCCATTCAGCTCGACCAACTAGACTCACCCACTCTGGGATGCGAACCTGCCCAGCCAGCTCCTCACAGTGGTGGGAGCCACACTTCCAACACCCGCCCCAGCCCCCAGCCCTGTGCCTCTTCTCAGCCCACCTTAACATTTCCCTGCCTACCCACTCCCCCAAGATAGCACACGTTGTGCACGCAGGAGGGCACGGAAGAGTACTAGGGCTGAGTACCCCTCCAAGCCTCAGAAGAGTGCCTCTGCTTATGATCCCTGATGGAGCAGCTTATCCAACACCTGTCCATGCAGAACTCTCACCCAGCACTCAGGTGGGGCCATTGCTAGCAGAGGAAGTCCTACTGTAGAGGCTCTCTTCTTCTTCCAGCCTCCAGGGCCCCAAGGTGCACCACACACCCTCTCATTTTGCTGGCATCTGAAGCATCACCGACTCCACAGTACCAGGTATTTAGGGCTGAGCTCAGGGCACCTTCACCCCTTCCAGGGTTGGAGCAGAGGAGGAGAAACAGGCTGACACCCCACCCCCCTCGACACACATACTTAATCCTCAAGATTGAGGAGAGGCTACAGGAGGGCACTCAGTGAGGGTTCCGTAAGGGTCAAGCTCCTTCCCCACCCTGAAGCATGCTGGGATAGGGGATGGCCCTGTCAGGCCAGGGGATTTATTCTAGGCTGAAGCTCCTCTGCATCTTACTGCAGCAATGGCAGGCACTAGTTTTGAGAGCAGCTGCAAGAACCCAAAGTCAGACACTGTGGAGAGAGAGAGCCTGAAAATGCCAGTCCCATTCTTTCTTCTCCTGGTTGGGTGAAGGGTCTGAGTCAAACCATTCCTCCTTCCTGCTTCTCCCTACCTCCTCCCCCATAAGCCTCCTGCCATCTTACTATAAGATATCCACAGGATCCAATCTGCCTCCCGCATGTGGGGAATCCAGCCCACATGCACACTTCTCTGGTCTGTAACTTGCTCCCTTATCTCAAAAGGGAGCCTGGAGCAGCCAGGCATCCCCTCCCCCAGCCTTTCCAACAGCATCAGCGAAGTGACAAATCCACACTGAGGAGCAGACATGACATGTAATTTCCGGCCAAAAGGATTTTTCCAAAACATTCTACCGTATTCTTGGGAATATATGCCAACCCCACCTCCAAGCCAGCCCTCTCCCACCTCTGCCCTCCCTCTTCTCCAAGACCTGGAGGGAAAACAACACATGGGGTTGGGGGGAGCGTGTTCCACCAACCCCAGCCGGCCTCAACTCACCCTTTGTGAGCAGGACCCAAGCTTCTGGACCAAGGCCAGACTGGTTCCCCTCAAGACCTCCTCCCAGAGAGAACTGCAGGCAACCCCACACCTTCAGGTCAGCCCAGGTCTGACGTCACACTGGTCTGGGGAGGAGGCTGGCCAGGGGCCAAAGGAGAGAAGGGGATGATTCAGACACATACCATGGCTGTTCACACCTTCCCCATCTCCGGGACACAGGGGCCCACTCCCTCCCAAGGGAACTTGGCATCTGAGGTCCTGAGGAGAGGCAAGGCTGAGGCATACTTGCTCACAGTGTTGCCCCCACAAGCCCTGAGTCTAGCCCTAAAACCTCTTCACCCTTCTCTTCAACTGTTGGTGTTTCCTAAGACTTCTGAACTCTCCCTTCCTTTCTCAATGGATGCTCTGCTCCCTGGAGGTCATCCCCTCTCCCACAACTTCAATTACCACCTGCACTGTCTGTCTCTATTCCTGAGCTCCTGAAGCTCTAGACCCACATTTATTTATACACATTTGCAGGACAGCCCCACCAGGAGGATGCACAGGTACCACAAATTCTGCATGTCCAAACTGAGCTCATCATCACCGACTGTAACCTAGCTGATGTGTGCTCCTGTATCCTGACTGAAAACAAAGCAAACACTAGTCATGCAGGCTGGAAACCTCACCCCCGGCTCCTCTAACCATCATACCTTCCCCACTGGGCAGGCCACAAAATCTTGTTGTGTCTGCCTCCCCATCTTTCCTCCTTTCAATACCATTGCAATCAAAAGTCAGATGACTGGGCTGAAATTCTGGCTGTCACTTTCTAGCTGCGTAACTGTTGGGCAAATCACTTAATCTCTAAGCCTCAATTTCCTCTTCTGTAAAATGGGGATAAATAGTACCTCCTTCATAGAGTGTAGATTCAGTAAGATAATGAACAGCAAGCACCTGGCACATAGTTGCCTCCTGTTATTTCTGTCATCTGAACACGGTCCCTTCCCTGCCTGTAGTCTTCTGTAACTCCTCACTGAGCCAATACAAGGCCCTTCAGGATCCACTCCTTGACTATTTGTCTAATTCCATCTCTTACCATTTCCTTCAAACGCCTCCATGCTTTCAAATCCAGTAAAGCATGCACTTTCTTGGGAAGAGGGGCTGCCAGTCTCATCACAACTACTCCTGTCCCAGACCCACTAGGCTACTTACTTACTCTGCTCCCACAGAGCTGCTTCAGCCCCAGGGACAACGTGGCCCATCACAAAGGCAGGAGACTCTTGAATCTGCCTTCCTCTCTCATGGGAGACAGAAAGGGGTGGAGGAAGAGGGGGAGAAAGCTGGGGGGAAGAGAAAGGGGAGGGGAGAGGACTGGAGGGGGACAGAGGAGTGAAAGGGAGGAAAGGCAGGGCAGAGAAACAGGGGCAGACACATCGGACAGATGGACCCTCCTAAACAACATCTCCCTACACAACAATGAAAAAGGTGTAACTTTCAGAGATGAAAGGATCTGACTAAACACCTGTGACACAGACCAACATTGAATTCAACACCTCCCCACATGTACTAACTTGGTCTTGAAAGTATTTTGTAATTATTTCATGCTCTACCAGCTAAAGACTAGCATGCCAACCCCGACACTCGGAGACAAGACACTGAGAGCCCCTAATGCGTTCCTGAAGCACTCCCCTCCCCCGCACACAAGGGCCACTCGAGTGTGAGAGGATAAATTCCTGCGGCTGTCTGGGTCTCGCGCATACGCACACCACACATGCTGGACTGCTGCCTCTCGCCAATCCTCTGGCCCAGGCATCATCACAGCACCAAGGCCCAGCAGTGAATCCCAGGAATGGAGGAAGGATGAAGTCCCAGATGCCAGCCACTCCCGGAGCTTTTCCAGGGCTGGGCAGTGGCCACCCAGCCAGTCACCCTGCCTGCTGGCTCAGGCCTCGCCCCACCCCCAACCCTTGGAGAGAGCAGAGAGCTGAAGCAGCCTATTGTTGGGCCCTGGAGGTGGGGTGGGGATGCCAGAGCTGTGTATTGTAAATCATTTACTCTGCAAGAGGGACCGCTCATCCCCTGGGGGACCATATCCACACCAGAACCCGGGGAGCTAAGAACGTCCATCCAGTGCAGGGCAGGCTGTGGGGCCCAGGGGAGGAAGGGTCTAAATCTGGAAGTGAGAGAAATGTCAGGGATTTCAATGTATTTAAGATGCCTTAAATCCCACTGTATCCTGCCTACCAATTTTAGCAATGGAGAAACTAAAACCCTAAATTGGAAGGGACTTGCCTGGTCCAAGACACTTAAGAATCTGTCATAGGGACTAGAGCTCTAGGAGTTGGGGGAAGTCCACAGTTCAGAGTGATGGTAATTCTCCTCTGGCCATGGAGGGGCCACCCTGCAAGGTCAGGGACTGGTACAGGTCAGGGGCTCAGAGAGGAGACCCTGACTCATTACAAGACACAGCATACACAGCACAGGCAGAGACAAGAACCCAGTGTTCTCACACCCAGCTAAGGTCCTTTGCTTCAGGGCCTCCAGGAGGTACTGCTGCTGAAGGGAGAGACCAGGTCAAACCTCCCACCCCATACCTCCCCTCAGTCACTTACCACGTACCTGTTATGCTTTTACCCGGTGAAAACATAGGGTTTTGGGGAAGGAGAAGTCACAGTCTGGGTTCTCGAGAAAAACTATGTGTAATAGTTTCTTTACTAAAACCTTCATTTTCATTGACTAATTTAATCCCTCTCCCCTTACTACCCTATCTTATCCCCATTTTACAGATAAGAAAACTAAGGCGCTAGAGAGGTGACCAGGGTCACCAAAAAAGTGAGAGATGGAGCCAGGATTCAGTCCATACACAACTGTATACTACATTGCTTGGCTCAAGGATGCATGCCCATGGACGGCAGAGCTGGAGTCTTATTCATTGAATATATACTGGATACTGAATAAATTCATGGATTTTTTTAGTACGTTTAAAGGGGGGACAGAGGTTCTAGGAGAAGAGTGTAGACTGCATGCATGCACAAAATTTTGCTCCTTCCCCAAACTCCACCAAAACTACAATTTAAAAAAGAGAAATTTTTGAATGGCAGAAGTCCTCAAGGATGAGAACAGTAGAAACAATCACAACAAAACTTTGGAAGTTGGAAAGCAGGTGGGCTAGTGACAACTGAGAGGAAGTGCTCTACAATACTAGAGAGTAAACCAACAAAGACACAAGATACAGTAAACAGGAGACCCAACGCAGAAGGGCCGCGAAGGAAATGCCAGGATGCTGGAGAAAGATCCCAAGAGGAGAGCTAAGCATCACGACAGGAAGTAACCAGTCCTATGCTGCTTCAGGACACAAGGTTCTGAAACTTCTTCAGGAAGATGAATTTGATAGAATATCTAATAGAAAATGACATCTTCAGAAATTTAGACAGTTACTGGAGAGTTTGATCAAAGTAAACTTGGACAGATAGAAGAAAAAATGAGACATACGTAGAGTAAATAGACTGAATGATGGGAAGCATTAAAGGGTAGAAAGGTGGGAATGAGGGGGTTACTGTATTTTGCGGTGTATAATGCACACTTTTGGCCCAGACTTTTAGGGAAAAATAAGGATGCACATTATACATGGGAATTAGTATTAAAACATGGCTGTGTGTTATATATAGGAGCACATTATTCACAGCAAAATACAGTAAGTCAAATCCTCATCTATGACCAAGAACAAATAAGAGATCAGATTTAAACTCTTCACTGAAATAACAACAACAAAAAAGGATAAAAATATACAAAATGGTTTAGACACCAGACATAGGGAAAACAAAAGACAGTGATACCTATGAGATAGGATACAAAGGAGCTGAGCCCTGCAACTGGCTTTCCAAGCTACAGTATAGCGAAGAGAACCAGTTGGACCTCAAAGAACTCCCTGAATTGGGGAGATGGACCTGAGAGTCTAGGGAGACTCAGTTGGCCAAAGTTCACAGAACAGGTCATTAGAAAGAGAGAGCACCATAAAGGTCTGTAAGGGGTCCCCTCAAATATTCAGCTGAGAACTGACTATCACATGACTGTTCAGAAATGACCCACGACCGGGAGAAAAAACACCCAAAAGGATTAGAAGTGACAGTGCCTCGTGCTCACAGGCTGGGAAAAGTGACTGTTCCTAAGTGCCAGGCTGGAAAAGCTAGGCATTAGGCAGAATACACAAATGAGTCTTGCCCCAGGAATGGGGAATTATTAGCCCTACACTGAGCATACCTGTGATCCTATCTAACAAATCTTACAAACAAGACCCAAGGGGCTCATACTGTTGCCAAGTCACTTAACTATATCCTTAAGTAAAGTTCAGGAATATTTATAGAAATTAAAAAAAAAATACAAAGTGACCAACAAGAAAAAATTCACACTGTCTGGCATCCAATAAAAAATTCCTAGGTGTGCAAAAAAGCAAGACACGATAATCCATAATGAGGAGTAAAAACAATCATTTAAAACCAACCCAGAATGCACACATTAGAATTAGTAGATGAAAACATTAAAATAATTATTATAACCATTTAAAAGACTATAATTAAGTTTCTAGAATAAAAACTACACTGTATGAGATGAAAAAATAAACTGAATGGAATTTAAGGCAGATTAGACACAGCAGAATAAAAACTGGGTGAACTTGAAGACACAGTAACAGAAATTCCAAAACGAAACAGAGGAAAAAAAAGAGATTCTTTTTTAAAGGAACAAAACATCAATGAGCAGTGGGACAATTTCAAGTGGCCTAACACATATAATTAAAGAGAAGAAGAGAATTGGGAACAAAAAAAATATCTGAAGAACTTACAGCTGAAATTTTCGACATTTGATGAAAACCTTAAGTTCACAGATTCAAGATATTCACTAAACTCCAGGTAGAAGTTGGAGAGCATTATGCTAAGTGAATTAAGCCAGGTGGTGAGGGACAAATACCGTATGATCTCACTTTTAAGTGGAACATAATCAACAAAAGCAAAAAGCAAGCAAAATATAACCAGGGACACTGAAATTAAGAACAATCTGACAGTAACAGGGTGGGGGGGTAACTAGGGGGGGCAGGGTTTTCAGGAACAACTATAAAGGACACATAGACAAAACCAAGGGGGAGGATGAAAGCAAGGGAGGG